TAAAATTGAAGGTTCATTAAGTATCAAAAATTTATGTAAAACTAGGTGGTCATCGAAGTATGATGTTTGCAAATCCTTAAATATCGGGTACAAAAAAATCTTAAATGTTGTAGAAGTAATATACTCAGATAAAAATCAACGACCAACAGTCACGAAGCAAAATCTATTTATAAAAAAATTTTTATTTTGGAATTTTCATTTATGTTATGCATGTAGTATCCAATTATAAAACGTTTTGAAGCTACTTCAAAAGCACTTCAGTTAGAAAATATTGATTTATGTAACGTGATTTCATTATATACTTCATTGAAGGATTATATTCAAGAAATTCGAAGTTCTTTCGACACATTTTTAGAAATAGCAAAATTTCGAAGTGGTTATGAAACATTTGTTTGGGAATCGTCGAGGAAAAAAATTAGACCAGTATTATGAGATGATGATAAAAACACTTTGGACGTTATTTTTACGAGAAGTGAAAAAATGAAAAATGAAACATTTTTAGTGATTATTGACAAATTAATTTTTGAACTAAATAGAAGAATGGAAATTTACACTAAATTATATGATAAATTTGGATTTTTATTAAATATTGATAATGAATCATCAGATAACATTCGAAAAAAAGTAACAACCTTGTTAAATTTTATAATATAGATTTAGAAAGTGACTTAGGAGAAGAATTGATACAATTTAAAAGCATAATGGCAAATATTTCAGCTGAAAATAAAAAATCATTTATTGCATTGCATAAAACTTTAATATCATCATCATTTCCCAACATAGAAATTATTTTAAGAATCATTTGTATTTTACCATCTTCAAATGCCAGCGGGGAACGATCGTTTTCAGTTTTGAAATGGATAAAAAATTTGTTGAGATCATCTCTAAGCCAAGATAAAATGTCGGATTTGTCAATACTATTTATAGAGTCTGAAATAGTTAGAGAAATTAAGTGGGAGGAACTTGTGAATAAATTTTGTTACAGTCAAATCGAGAAGAAAACATATTTGTTAGACAATTTTTATTAGGGTTTCTTCTTTATATTATATTGTATTTACTTTAATTTACTTTATAATGAATGAGTATATGTATGATATGAATGAATTGAGGATATATACGTTGCTCCAGGGCGGCTTTGACACTTAATCCGGCTCTGTTCTCATCTCTGCTACAATTATTCTCTGCTCTACTTTCTTATCAACCACCCAACACTCTGAACCATATATCATAGTTGGCCTTATTATAGTTTGGTAGAATTTACCTTTCAGCCTCATTTGAATTCTTTTATCGCACAAGATATCAGACGCTTCTCTCCATTTCAACCACCCGCACTTAATCCTGTCTTACCTTGTAGTCCAGTGTATAAAATTTATACATTTGTTATAAGTATCAAACATTTATTATTGAAAAGTATTGCATCAAGACCTTTAAATTTTTATACGCGTTAAAAGTAAAGAAATATACAACTACTTTATTATTTTTATAATATCTCCTCAAAAATTACAATATTAAATTATTGAACATCAATTTCATACTAAATTAATTTATTAAAATTATTATTTATTCATGTATTATAATTATAAATCAAATAACTAACTAACCGGGATAAAATTAAGGGAATAAGAGTTATTGTTGCTTTTGAATAATCTACCAATTTCTTAATATTAAACACTATCTACAGATTTTCATCGAAGCATATCTTGAGATTTTCTACAGTGGTTTTAATCACTGTCAGATGTCATCTATACTTATCCCAACTATGCCACGTTCATACTTAGCCGCGACCCCCACTGTGTTACCATTTTTTACTATAAACTTTATCAAAAATTTTTCATCAACTTAAAGGAACAAAAAATAGGTTAAAAATGAAATTTTGGACTGATTATTATTAACATTTTAAAAATCAAAATCTGTAATATTTTGAAAAAAATAATTTTTTTGAATTATTATTTTATATGTAATTAATAATAATATTAAAAATTAGAAATGATAGAAAAAGTCTAATTACAGATTTGAAAACAGCATGAAAAGTTGATGTAGAAAAATATTTTTGCTTCTGATGAAATTTTTTGTATTCCAGTGTATATATTTATAAGTTTGAAACAATTTTCATTGAAAAGTATTGGCATAAATTCCTTTAAATTTTTATACTCGTTAAAAGTTGACACGGCACCGCGCAATGCTCTAGGCTGATAATCGGCTGTCATCGAGTGTCTCCCCGCCCTTGAAACCGAGACCACCGCCGAATATGTATTACTAATAATGCGTTCTTTTCTGTTTCCAACATACACCTATTTTGGTTCACTTCGTTTTTTTTGTTCATAGGTTGCGATTGTTAAATCACTTTAGCGGCTTTACGATTTATACATATACCACCTGTGCAGCCTTACGTTTTGCATTATATATATCGCTGTTCTGATCTAAACTGTTGTAACTCAAAAAACCTCTTTTTTCACAATTTAAGAAAAACTAATATTCGAGAACTCGCTTAATTTATTGAATTTTCAAAAAAAGAATACGCAATGTAGGATGTTCTGAAATATCATGGTATAGTTATAATGCAATTTTTTGTGTAGAAAGCTGTTTAATTAAGAATTTTTTACTTACGACAGTTTTCTACTATTCAATATAAGAAAAAAAGTTAATTATTTTGAGTTAGCACAGTTTTCTTGACAAAACTTCAATTTACCAAACTTTTATAATGACAAAAATATGAACAAGTTAATTCAAATAAACTGCGTTTCAATTAGCAATAATAATATGAAAAAGAGTGAATTGAATGGAAATGGAAGGAATAGTTACAATGCTTTTTGCTCATAAATATATTTGTATTCAGATTTAAATCTTATACATAAAAAAACAAAACGTAAAAAAACTTTTTCTATAAGAACTAAAAAGCAGATAAATATCGCCTGTATATCAACATTGTATATCACATAAAATCAAAATTATTAAAAATTATTTGCTTATAACTAACAAATTATAAATAGGTAAACTAGCTTATAACTAATCAGGCTTTCTTCATTGAACAACTCTACAAGTATCTATTTTTTGAACTTAATTGTTGTCATTTAGAATATATTTATAGTAGCAATCATAGTAAGCTTTTGGAATTACATTTTTGTCTACCAGTTCTTTGATATCCTTTTTTTTAGCTTCAGTTAATGGAATTTTAGCTACATAGGCTTGTCGCTTATCTTGTAGAAAATCTTCTTGATTTTGTCGGGTTCTTTTTCTCTGCGCTACAACTTTTTTAAAGACTACATCAGAATAGGATGTTTTGTAAAAGAATGCACCAGGAGTTTCTTTCTCTACGCGTATCATTTTAATATCATGCCACTTTAGTACCCCATTCTTCTTGAACAGTTTTTAGGTCATAAAAGTTCTCATAAGTAATTTCTTTAACCTTATAAGGTTGTCCAGTTTTCTTTGCAGCTCGAATCAATGTAAAATATTGATTTGGTACATAAATTGGACCTGATTGAGTATGCTTCTTAATTTGCTTTTCGATAACACTGTGGACGTTATCTCCCTCATTTTGGGAGTGACCACGTATTAAAAATTTATGTGTGATTGACTTAACACCCATTTTAAAAACAACATATGCATACGCAGATAGTAAATATTTATTTTTTTGGTGTCCACAGCAGTTATCGGAGTAAAATATAAGCTCAATAGCTTTGCCTGTATTAGCCGCTAATTTGTCTTGAATGTAAGTGATGACACAACTTCCGATTTCCACCGCACCACGTTTGCCTTCTGTCTCGTCCCAAAAATAGCAAACCACATCCTTGCGTTCAAATCGCTCACAGTAAAGTTAAAGCAGTTTATCCTTGATTTATAATAAAATAAAGACACTTGTCCTTAAGTTACTGGCATTACTGCCTGTAAATCATACATCATTCCTATGTTTGTCAGTCTCCTTTTCTGTCCTTGCTAATTCTTTTTCTTTAAGATGTTGTTCATAGTTTTGAAGTAGCTTCTGTTTAACATTTTCATCTTCGTTTTTGTAACATTCCCAAAGATCACATAGGTCCTTTTTTGGTATGAAAAATTGTCGCGGTCGCATTGCACTTCCGGCTTTACCGCTGGATGGTGACTGCGACACAGCTGCCTCTCCTCGTCCGACAGGTCGCGCGACGCCGAGTGACCGCGGGTGACAAGAACCGGTCCGGTGATGCACTAAGTATTCTTATATTACCAACACTTGTGTCTATTGTGACTTCCTCTCGGAAACCGATTTTGTTTTATAGTAATTTAAAATATATGGCAATTAATATTTAGCCACCTCGTTGTTATTTATTTAATAAAAAACCACCTTAGACACAACAAAATGAAATATTGAATTCTGTGTTAAATATTCGATTAAATGTTGACTCGGAAGCAACTGGTAAATTGGCGTTTTCACAATCTTCTTTATAGCCTCTATACAAGTCAGCTAGAGACTTATCGCTTTGGATATATTCGCGGGATGTTTGAGCTCTGAGGTAATGCGATTTAATCCAAGGAATAGTGTTGATAAAATTTTTAACATTATTCCTTTCCTTTCAGGGCTTATAGCTCGATGCTTGCCATGTTTTCCCCTTAGTTCTCCTTCTAAGAAGCCACAGTCTGATCTTTTAGATAATGCTGTTTTGATAGGTCTATCGTTTAAATCAAGCGTTGCCTTGAAAAATATTTGCATATTCAAATTCGTGTGTCATTTATATCGAAATAATACGCCACAGTAAGTGCTCGAAAGTTTTGTGAATATCTATATTGGGGCTTAATATCGTGTATCTGTCGTATAATTAATTCTCTTTGTCTCTGCAAATCAGCAAGCGACCAATATTTATCAAAAATAAGCTGTCTAGTGTCTTCATTTATTTTGGTGCTACATTTGAAGCGACATCTGTCTCCACAAGGTGGACGGATTTGTTTTCCTCTCTTTTGTTTTTTAGTTTTGACCTGAATACATACGGCTTTCCTGAATTTCTTAGTTTTTTAGCAATATTTGATTTCTAATTTTCAGGTCGCCTTATTCTTTTCTTGCTTTTTGTTTCTTGATTTTCGGTAACTACATCCTGGCTTTGGGCAATTGGAAGACCCGACTCCGATTCACATGAGTTGTCAGAGCTAGTTGAGCTTGATGATGAGCTGCTATAACTGGATTAAGAGGAACCGATTTTTTTCTTTAAATATGTTTTATTTGAAGACGCATTAAAGTCTGGATCAACATCAGAATCGTCTATGTTACTTTCGTCACTATGAATTGGAGAAACGAAATAATTTATTTTAAATCTGTATCATTCTGGATGTTATTCTCAGTAATAGAAGAAACTTCGTCAGTCGTAAACTAATAGACTGATGACTTAATAATATTTGAAGTAAATGGTTTTGAGCCTTCTACTACTGGTGAAATAGATAAGGTGGAGCAGTCATTCAGTGGAATACTTTTCATCTGATTATTATGAGATTCGTTCTTCGTAGATATATTATTTTCTTTGTCGGTTTTTGTTGCCATATAGACAAGTAATCGTCCACGACTCGTCATATTTCTGAAAAAAGAATTTAAATTCCGTCCAATCATCAAAAGTATATCAACTCAAAAAAATACTGCTAAACCATCTTTCATGCATTTATTAAATTGTACAGAAATTTTTTCAACAGTTAAATGTTATCGATATTTATAGGTGCACAACTGTTTATTTCAAGAAATGGTGTGCTTAGACTTGGCAAATAAATTCACCATCAAAACTGTAACAAAACGAAATAATACTAATCTTAACTACAAAAACTGTTGTAACATGAAATTTTTACCTTGGTTATTCACAGTTACGCCCTTGCGAGTTTAGATTTAGCCTTGACCATAGGAAAATATTTTTAAAAATAAAGTTGGAGTAGTTTATCTAATACAATCCGCTGTATAATTGTCGTTGGAAAGTGTTGGTTACAGTATTATTATAAAGACATTATTGATATCGATGAAAGTGTCTACATATTATTACGGCAAATATTAAAAAAATACTAAACGAAAACGATCGAAATGGAGTATGGTATAAAAGAATAATCGGCTTTACCATTTACGATAAGTAGAAACTTAACGTAAACGTAAGTATTCTTATGTAATGATACTTACACGGTGGTTTATTTTGAGATAACCCACAAATTATCTTTTTCAATAAACTTAATTTGAACGAATTTAAGAAATATAAATAAGCATAGCCTTTAGTATTGGTAAAATCAAAATTTATAAAATTTCCTTTAATTTTTTATCTAGTCTTTCTTTATAAATAATCATACCAATGCATGTATATGCAACTAATGTTAATCATTATAAAATGTCAATCTATATCTGAGTCTACAAATCAAATCTCCACTGGAGTTTTTTTTGTAATAAAATTTTCCAAAGCAAGAAAGTATAATCAAAAAACAAATTTTAATATTTAACAATAATAATAATTTATAATATTATTGATATAATAATTATTCTTGTATAATCTAAACATATTGTGATCGAAGTATTGTGTTTATAAACCATTGTTTTTGCATTTCTCGATAGTTGGCAATTTCTTCACATACCATTAGGTATCTTTTTTTTTCTTTTTTTTTTAAATTATCTATTTTTTGTCTAGTCCAATTTTTAATGTCTAAATTTAATTTTTCCTCTCGTGTATAAATCGCATCCATATGCTTGTCAGTAGATTTATAAGTAGCTTGATTTATAGCAAATCTTGAGGATACATAATAAATTGCATAGAAATTTAAAGATTAAAATTTTGAATAAAAAAAATTATTATTAAAAGATGTGTGCCTTTGGTCCGCTGCCATCATACTCCCTTAGCGCCTCATTTACTTTTTATCACAGTATAGTCACAAGAAAGTGATGTAACGAATTTCATCATACAAGAACATAATACCGTTTTTAATTATTTTTATAAATGACACAGCTTTATCTACTTAAATTCCAATAATTATCTTCTGCAATTATTAGCTTCGATGCGAGGCTGAGAAGGTATTGGTTTTACTATGATGTGTTTTTTTTTTTTATATGTCTTTACGCGTTACTGTATAAAGACTCTGACCAAATTTTCTCCGAACTCAAAAATTAACTTATTCTTTTACCTTAAGTCTACTCGTTAAATGGATTATAAACTAACAGAACATTTATAGTGATACACGATATTATTATTTTCTTTTAGCTTCGATGCGAAGCTGAGAAGGTATTAATTTTACTATTATGTGTTTTTTTTTTGTGTCTATTACCACTTTTTCTCAACTCTCACCGACCCGATTTCTTTCAATGATACGTCAAAAGATCACAAATCGTATATAGTCGAAGACATTACCCTAACAAATTGAAAAAGTTTCTCTCGTTCTCGTAAATAGTGGAAACCTCCAAAAAAATTACATATTTAAAAATCGCTAATTTTCGAAATTTTTTACTTAAAACTGCCATAACTTTTTCAAAAATGAACAAATTAATATAAATTTTTTTTATAGATGCTTAATGTCTTTACCTATCATTTAGTATATTTTTTTTTATAAATTTAACCCTTTACCAGCTCACGGGGGGTTTCAAAAAGACAACTTTTTCACAAAAAATTAACTTTTTCAACTTAACTTTTGAAATTGTTCCGGAAATACTGACACTTTTATATATAACTTAAATTAAAGCTTATGTAATATCCTTTAATATAAAAAAAAAATTCGGACTTTATTTTGTTTCATGATGAAAACAGTCATCAAAGTTAATAAAAAAAATACGATTTTTGTAAAAAAATTCTTTTTCATATTTTTAACTTTCTAACGCTATAAATCTTTGAAAAATGTATGGACCAATACAATTTTTCTATGAGAAATAATATTTATATACCTCTTTAATTTGACTTATTTTTTTTTTAAATCGGACCATTTCCCTTAATACAAATGGGTTCAAAACATAAAAATGCATAGAGAAAGTAGAACTTTTTCAACTTGACTTTTGAAAATGTTCCGGAAAGTCTGACACTTTTATATATATATGCTATTTTCGTGTGAAAATTCTTAATTTTATATTTTACATTTTTAACTTTATAATGCTATAACTTATTGAAAAGTGTATGGATCAACACAATTTGTTTATGAGAAATAATATTTTTTATCCCTTTTTCATTCAGGATATTAATAAGAAAATATTTTTTTTTTAATAAAACCATTTCCCTTTATATATTTATATATAAAATGTATATTACACTTATAAATCATAAAATTTGTAATCAGGATATAGAAAGAAATAGGAGATCACGTAGCTTTTAGAATAATCCACCAATTTTTTAAAATTAAACTCTATCTAATGATTTGCATCGAAGTGTTTTTTTTTTTAGTGATTTTAATCACTGTTGTTTACCTATATTATATGGTGCATAAGATCCTATCAGTATTGGTAAATCAATAACCAAAAATCCATTAATGGACGTTGAAATAATTGTGAGGTTATCTGCATCGATTATAACACAGAAAAAATTAATTTTTATTCGAATATAAATACGCCTTCATCAAAGCCGAATGTTCGAATTTTAGTACTTAATTTTTTTTTCTTAAAAACCAAGCTAATGGCCTGGTTTAAAGTCCGGTAGTGAATAAAAAATTTTTTTTATCATTTCAATTTGAAATTAAATTTTAAAATTTTGATTTTAGAGATTACATATTTTCAGAATATAATAGCAAATCCAAATAGTGTTCGTATTTACACGAACTCTATACTCTAAATCACACCCCTATCATCTTCAATTTTTATTACAACTAATTCATCGATTTTTGATTGTTGTAACCATTTAAAATTTCTAAGTAAAAGGTGGACTTAAGTAAAAAACTCAACATCATAAAGATTGTTGGTATCGAGATATAGTAAATATTTCGAAGGTTTATACAAATTAATCCAAATTTTCATCGTATGAGAATAAGATGAAATATATAAATATATTAGATTCGTGGATATTGATATTATTTGAAAAAGATTCTGCTGAATTCGATTTATATGTGTTAATATTGATTTGAAACCGGCGTATTTAACATATTCATCAGGAAATTAGTTTTAATAATTTTGAAATTTGTGGATATTTTTAGAGGGATTTGGAAGAACCGTTTTAACACTAATACAATTATTGAGATGGTTAGACATTAATTTAGATTATAAAAAAAAACAATAAACAACCATGCAGATACTATCTGCTCTTGGTTGAAAATACAGCAGAAATGCACAAAGTGTGATGGTGTCATGTTACCATTATTGTAAAAAATTATTATAATAAAAAATAAATAGCGCATCTACTTTTCATGATTGATGAATTGACGATTAATATTTAATGCATAATTGGTTAGTGATTTTCAGAATTTGTGTCATTCATCATTCTCAGTACTCGGGTGTCGCTGTCCAGCTTACTGCATAAAGTCAGGTTTTTGTTTTTCCTTTTTTCACCTCCTTACTCTCGTCTTCAACATTTCAGATTATTTGTGTCTTGCACTTCGTTTGAATCTCATAGGTGTTACCCTAATTCCTTTCCTATAATAACGGCCTTTGGATAACCACAGCTAATACGGAGTGTTAGCCGTACACGGTAATTGCTGTATGATAACACACACGTGAATACCCATGCAGCAAATTCAACATTATCTTCGTACACACTCTCTACACTCTTTTCCATTTGTATTTTGTTTTGTGTTACGACAGAATGGCCCCTAATAAAGATAACGTTTATATATTACATTGTTTTTATAGTATATAAAAAAAAAAATTATTAAACTAATTTATCTAACACTTGATGGCCAAAGAGGAAAACATAAAATCCTTCATCGAGCTTATCTCAGCACCGTAAGAAGACAACGAACGTGTATCTTACAAGACAAGTAAATAGCAGATGTGCAACTTATCACGGCCTGGTCGTACACAAATGTCTAAAGTTTGTCTAAAGCACATTACCCGTGCGGCCCAGCGGGTCAAGTAAGTCATAAACAGCCTGGCGGGACTCATGCACAATCTGGGAGGGTAGAGAGAGATGCGACGTAGACTTTTAGTTTATGTTATACACTCGGTCCTCCTATACGGGTCCCCGGTTTGCGCGGATGCTCTTGAGAATTTGTCCAAAAACCGTGAAGCCCTGCTCATGGTGCAGATGCTGGTGGCGATCCGGACAGTTTCTGCGTACCGAACGGTGTTCGGAGTGGCGATGAGTATCCTGTCATCACTACTACCCGCCGACTTACTCGCCGCTGGGCTTGAGTTCCGCTGAGAACACGACCGGCCCCTCAAACCCGAGATGCGACATGCGACCACGTTTCGGATCGCCCGGAAGAGACAGACAGTGCTCTGCATACCCTTTTTCGGTGCAAGGGCCACCATGAAATAATGACTAACGGTAGTTCCAGGGTAACTCACAATAATGCATATCGTGAAATTCGGAAAAAACGGCCACTGAAGCTAAAATTATTAGAGACCATATCAAAGGGCAAACATTAACCTCGTTTATCAAGGGTCTATGTCAACTCGTAAAAACTATAATAAAGGCTGGCAGGCAGACTCTTCTAGAAATTGTCATACAAGAAAGTCTAGAAGACGAACGAATCTATCAATCACATATGGAGGTACAACATTTCTTCAAAATTCAACAGTAGTGTAAACTTTAAGTTTTAAGTAACTGACAAAATTTGAAACAGTAATATTTTTCTAAAATTCGAATAACTTTTTTGTTTTATAACAATGATTCATTATTTAATGATTGTTTTTATGAGTTGTACCACTAATAATATAGGTACAAAATTTGTGGGGGATATATTTTTACATAAATATCATACTTGATTTAAAAAATGTTTTATACCTCCTAAGGAAAAAGTATCAATTCATTTTTATGACATTTTAATAATGTAGTCCAAGTTTTTATGGTAAAAGTTCAAAGAGGTTATTAAAAATAATAATAATATAATTTGGTCACACTGGTTAACATTACCCACATAGCAAAGAAATATTTCTAGAATATAACCAGAATATTTTGAAATATTCTCACAATGTTCTCAGAATATACTTTGGCAGTGAATATTACATTTTCATTATATTTTAAAGGTATATTTCAAAAATGTTTTCATGATGTTTTATGAATATATTTAAAAAAATCAACCCGTATAGCAAGCTTCTAACCTCGTACTTCAAGTGTTAGAGACACACGTTTAACAACTGACCCACAGGTTACTACAACTGTGAGATGATAGAAAAGGCTATTGCTATTTAAGGTAGTTCAAATTTTCAGTCATTTTTCCCGTTTAAAAAAATTCAAAGTAAATGCAACTTTATATTCAATTTAGATTAAATTCATATAGTGCTGGGCCGATCTCTTGAAGTCGGTGGACCACGACCCGTGGGGGAAACCCTATCGGGTCGTCAAGCGGAAGCTCCGCGGTTCACCGGTTTCCGGTCAGCTGGAGGCGGAAGTGCTGGAAAGGGCAATAGACACGCTCTTTCCGACACATCCGCCTCTGCCTCCCCCAGCGTTCGGGGACGACGTGTCTATGGAGGAATTCACCACTCAGGAGGTGGCTGACGCGATGGCGCGCGTACGGGGTCGGGAGCTGTGTTCCGGTTGGGTTTCCAACGCGATTCCAAACCGGGTGTGGGGGTTGGTAAACGACATCGCACCGGATTGGATACGCGCCGTCGCGAACCGCTGCCTCTCGGAGGGTGAATTCCCCACGAAGTGGAAGAAGGCCAGACTGGTGGTTCTGAAGAAGGGTGACAAGCCCGAGGGTCTCCCCTCGTCGTACCGACACGCTTTGCATGTTGGACGACTTGGGGAAGATCCTTGAGCGGCTGCTTGTCACCCGGATCGAAGCCCACCTGGCCGACGTTGGCGGACTGGCCGAGGGCCAGTATGGTTTCAGGAAGAGAAGGTCGACAGACAATGCGGCCTCACTCTTCAGGGACTTGGCCCTCAGGGCCAAAACTGAGCAGGGCTTCGGGGTGGCGGTGAGCCTGGACATCCGAAACGCGTTCAAGTCCGTGCGATGGAGCGCTGGACACGTTTCGGGTGCCTCCTTTCCTCGGGCGGATGATCCGGTCGTACTTTAGCGATCGCGTCATCTCTTACGAGAGTGCCGCGGGCCCGAGAATCAGACCTGATACGGGAGGAGTCCCGCAAGGGTCTGCTGTGGAACATCGCGTTCGACGCGGTGTTCCGCGTTCCGCTACCACCGCACGTGCACGTTGTCTGCTACGCGGACGACACGCTGGTGGTAGCAGAAGGCGCTTCGTCCAAGGAGGCTGGATCTCGTGCGAACTGCGCGCTCAGCGCAGTCACCTCCTGGATCCAGCAGGAGGGGAGTGGACTGAGACTCGCCCTGGACAAGACCGAAACGGTCTTGTTCAAGGGCAGGTACAAGTTCTCTCCTCCACGGCTCGTCGTGCTAGGGGTGGAGATCCCACTTAAGGACTCCATGACTTATCTGGGCCTTGTCATAGACAAACGTCTAAAGTTCAGGCCGCAAATTACTCGTGCGGCCCAGCTGGCCCCAAAAGTCATGAATTGCCTGGCGGGACTCATGCCCAATCTGTGAGAGATGTGGCGCAGACTTTTAGTCAGCGTCGTACACTCTGTTCTCCTGTACGGGTCCCCGGTTTGGGCGGATACTCTTGAGTATTCGTCCAAAAACCGTGAAGCCCTGCTCAGTTTCATCTCAAGTTTAGTTTCATTATCATAATTGAAATCAAAGTCAATACTATTAAATTCTGTTAACATGCCACTTAAAGGGTCGTTGAAACTGTACAATTGAGAATGAAAAGGAATATTAAATGTAGTTGTGGAACAAGCATTGAAAACGGGAACATGCCAGTTTATTTTTTTGAGTATTTGAGGAAAACTTATTTAATTATTTAATAATTTATATATAAATGATATGTCATTGAATTTACTTCTAGACGTAAGAGAATTCAAATCTAGTTTACGTTTCAAATGCTTTAACGAGTACTTACACCGTATTCGTAAAGCAGCCGCTCCGATGTGCGACCACTGTTCGGATCGCCCGTGAGAGGCTGATAGCACTCTGCACACCCTCTTCCGGTGCGAAGCGTGGGCCCAGGAACAGGACTCTTTGGAGTCTCGACTAGGGTCCACGTTCCGAGTCGGGTCCATGGTTGACCTGATGTTGAGGAGCCGGGAGTCGTGGAGCCTCGTCCAGGCGTTCGCCGAATCCATCTTGAAAAAGAAGGAGGAAGCTGAACGCCTGAGACAGAGGCAGCCGCGCCGCCCGGTACAGGAGGACCTAAGGCGCTGGTTTAGGCCTGCGCCTTAGGTATTCGTGTTTATATGTTTTATGTTTTTGTGAGTTATTTTTTCCCCTTCGCTTTTAACGGGGGAGACCCACCACGTTGTGAATCAGCTCTTGATTAATTTCGGGCTGATACACAACGTAGTGGTGTGAGTTTTAAAGACGGCGTGGGCCGCCCTGAAGTAATACCTAACGGTAGTTCCAGGGCGGCCTACAACTAAGCCGGTCGTGGAAAGAAAAAAAAAATCCCATCATCGTGACCTCTCATTGTAAGTTAGAAATTGACCTATATTGTTGGTAATCAGTGTTATCAAAATAATATTGTGTTGTGAAAGAATAAATATGATTCAACTTTACCTATCGCCTCCAAAATAATTTAAGCTAGATACATATTCATCAATGCTATCGGGATTATTTGTGATCATTTTAATAGTTTCGCTTAAAATTTGTGCATAATCATTTTCGATTTCTCGTAATTCAGCAAATTTGTCAACTAATGGTTCTATAAAAGCTCTTAGAATATCCTCTAAATTTTTTTCGTATCTACTTATCATTATTGCAATTGATTTATTCATATAAAAGTTATTTCTATGCAAACAAAAACAAATTATTTCTGTTTCTTCGGCAAATGCGGATTCAAGAATATTTAGTGAAATAGGTGGAAGTCCATTTGACTCTTTATTTTCCTTTATATGAGAAACCCTTTTACTGTCAGCGGAGACTAATTCATTTTCCTTATATTTACCAGCCAAAGATTGAACTCTAAAGTATCTAATATTTTCAAAATCCGAAATCATTGTACGATTTTTGTTAGTCCACTTTTTTTCAAATATATAATAGGCTAAGTGAAATTTCTCTGTTATTTTATTTCTAGTTAATAAGCTAAAAAATTGTTATTATAAATTATAATGAATGTTTGTATAACTTAAATTTGTTTTTACTTTTCCTTTCCCATTTGAAATATTTCCATAGTTATTCCAGTCATATTTTTCTTGTATTCGTCGTATGCTAATTTTACTTCTGAATTTAAGTTTTTTAATTGTTTACCATCTGGGTCGTTTTTATATAAGTAATCAATAAAACTTTCCCCATCCAAGTCTTCTACAAAGGCTAATTTATGATTTTCAATTTCTTTATTTCTCTCATCTGCAGCATTTTCAGCTATTATTTGAGCTAAATCTATCGATTTTATTTTAGAAATTACTTTTGGCTCTATAATTCCAGCAGACAATCTTTCTTGATAAGATATGTATTCACCGTTTAGATAATGAAGTTGAGGAAATCGACATAAAATATAGTATCTGGAATTAACTATATCACTAGTGGCAGGATTATTTGATACATCAATACATATCAATTTCTTAAATCTTTTCAAGTATAAAAAATTATTTATATCATTTATGCGGTTATCATTTATAAATAATGTTTCTAACATTACATTGCAGTCTAAATTTTCAATTTCTGTAATTAGATTTCCAGCTAAATTCAAAAGTGTCAAATTAGTTAAGTGGTCAAGGTTTTCTATTTTATTAATTTTATTAAATGATAAATCTAAATATTCTAGTTTAATAAGTGAATCCAAATTTTCAATTTTACGGATGTGATTTTGAGTAATTTTCAAATGTCTTAAATTTGTAGGTAACCTTAAACCAGTAATGTGTAGTACACCTTTCATTGAAAGATCTAATTTTACTATTATATCCCAATTAAAATGTGGTTCTAATGATAATAAACGTGAAATTTCTTCATTTGACTGATTCTTCAAAAAATGTTCTTTTATGTAAACAGATGAAATAATAAAATTAAAGTCATAAAATTTATAAATGGGATTCTTATAAAGTTTTTCCTGAGAAACTAAATCCATTTAATAGTTATTAATCCAAAAAACTTATTGTTTAAAATTTATCATTTTTAGTAAATAAAAAAATGAAATTTTGTTCATATTTAATACAAATATTGTTAGTTTAATAATAAATTGCTAGGTAATATATACACTATATTAATAAATACGTTAATAGTTAATAGTTACTTTTCTAAAAAAATATAGAAGAACGGCTGATGTGAGAGATCGTATCAAGTGGAAGTTAATGATAAGGGTGGACGACCCATATTAGTATGGATTAAGGCGAAGATTTAAGTATTGAGGATCAATTTTGCAAAAATAACAGTGGTGCTCACGAGGATGTAAGACACTAGATTAAGTGCAGGTGGATAAAGTGGAGAGAAGCGTCTAGTATTTTTATGATAAGAGAATCCAAACGAGACTGAAAAATAAGCTTTATAAGACTGTAGTGAGACTATCTATGATGTATTGTTCAGAGTTTTTAGCGGTTGACAAGAGAATAGAGGAGTGATGAGAATGTTTAGATGGATTAGTGGAGAGTAGATGGAGAGAATATCCCGTTTCGCTGCGCTACAGTGTCGGCGTGATCGGGCTCTACGGGGCTACGAAACGTCGGCACGAGCGCAGTGTCCCTAGCTCGGGGAATCGGGCGCGTCCTCAGGTTGCGGATAGAGGAACGGCCTGCAGATATGCAGGTTAGCCGCGAAATAAGCAGTCCATTAATTTGGACTGACGAATAAGCGGTCGCGGACAGCGAGCCCATCGTTCGCTCGTTAACCCTGCAGATATGCAGGGTAGCCGTGATATAAGCCACTTAAAGTGGACGAATAAGCGGTAGCGATCGAGGGTAATTCCATAACGGGCGGGTGGGCCCGATAGCCTGGTAAGGCAACCACCTAGGTGAAGGCAACACTGAAAACAAATTCCCTGACGGTAGGTAAAACGCAGGTTAGAATTTACATTAATAATCAAGGATGGAANACGCAGGTTAGAATTTACATTAATAATCTAGGATGGAAGGTCACCACGTTAAAAAAACAGTTACGGTTCCAGGAGTATCGGAGACTCCAGGACCGGCTGGGGAGAATACCGTTGCAGGCTCGACCCGGTCGTCATCCTGTGACTGCACAAAAACCGTTGGACTGTTGAGGCAGGGTCCAGGGGGCGTTCGCGCCCAAGCTACTGCTGGAGAATGCGAGAAGCAGGCATTCTCCGGTGGCCATAGTGCCACCGAGGTTACTGCGAATTTTCCCGAAACCGCGCGGGACTCAATTGAAGGGAGACATGGGTTGGCTGATGAACAGCCCGCACCAGTACAGTCGGGGTCAATCTCCATAATAGAGAGGCTCATTAGAGCGGGTAATAAAAAAGGTGGCTCGTCAGGGAACAATCCCGACAAGATGGTCATGATGCCTCAATCTCCCGAGAGATCGATGGGAGTGGACGATGCCTCCGCGTTGGATGGACTTGGGGAAGATGAGTCCCTCCGACCTAAAAGGAAAGAGACTTCCCCAGTGCCCTTAAAGGATTTGGCTTCTGTATCGGAGGACACACCGCCGGAGAGGCTGTTGCCTATGCCGGTCACTCCGCGTCCGTCAAAGATGAAGATAAAGAAGGCCAAACTCATGGACTACACAGCGGCCGATCTATTTAATGTAGACGGCACGCCTAAGATGGACCTTCCGTCAAGCGAGATTCTTCTGAGCGACGGTCTGCTACTTGCAAAGGAGCAGGCCCAAGCGTTGGAGGACGTGATGGAGGTGTACGGCCCGTACCGGCGCGTGGTGAAGATGGCAGTGGCTCTTATCGAAAGTGTTAGGGCCCTGGCAGATCTTCACCACACGCAATCTTCTGAAGCACCAGAGTGTCCGGAGATGGTTGATGGGTCCACTCAGACCGACCAACCACGGGGCACGAAGGGTGCTCCTCCTATCAAGACCAGCGTGGTCGCGATATCCTTGGACGGCGAAGTGCCAGCAGCAGAGGCCATGCCCGGGTCGACCGCTAAACCATTGCTGGAGACAAAAAAGAAAAAAGGGAGGAAAAAAAAGCAGAAGAAACTCCGGGGGAGTGTTAGTGGGGTCGAAAAAGTGTTGGCACCCAAGGGTGATATGGCGGACCATCCGTCACCAGCATTAACAGCCCCAGTAGCCTCTAAGACCTTGGCAAGCGCAACTATTGCGGCACCGCTTTCGACTGAGGTCGTTGGCCGAAAGGCCAAACGGCCTAGGGACCTGATAGGAGAGGACAAGATGGAGGCGAGCAAGAAACCTCCAAAGAAAGGCCCTTCGGTCGCCCAACTCAGAGCGAAGGTACCCCGAACAGAAGCTGTGGTGATTGGGCCCCTGAAGGAGGGTCAACAGTACGCGGCCGTTATGAAAACGGCCATGGCTGCTGTTGATCTCCAGGCCTTGGGGGTCCAAGTAACTGGCACCAGGAGGACCCAAGCAGGGGCGGTGCTGCTGGAGGTCAAGGGCGTGGCCTCGCACGCAGACCTCCTGGCCGCCAAGCTAAAGGAGGCCCTTCAGGAGCATGACGTTCGGGTCAGCGGCCGACTAAGACCTGCAGCGTCATGCTCCTGGACGTAGAGGAGTGGATGGAGCCGGGGGACATTAAGTCCGCCCTGGCCTCCACCCACCAGGCCCCAGGCGGGGGCCAGGCCGAAGTTAGTGCGGTTACGGTCCGCAGCAACGGAGTCGGCAAGGGGCGGTACGCCAGGTGCGACCTGCCTATCCGGCTGGCTCCACGCCTAGCGGCCCTCACGCGAGTGAGGGTGGGGTGGAACTCCTGTAGGCTGAGGATCCTCGAAGACAAGGGTCCTCAGTGCCCCGTTTGCTGTGCTCTCACTGTGGTGGAATCGGGCTCTACGGGGCTACGAGCTGCTTCAGCGGGCACAGTTCCCTTGCTCGGGGAATCGGGCGCGTCCTCCGGTTGCGGATCGAGGAACGGCCTGTAGATATACAGGTTAGCCGCGAAATAAGCAGTCCCCTTTTGGAGACTGACGAATAAGCGGTCGCGGACAGCGAGCCTCTCGGACGCTCGTTAACCCTACAGATATGTAGGGTAGTCGAGAAATAAGTCACTCTATTTTTAATAGGGTGGTCGAATAAGCGATAGCGTTCGAGAGAAACATAGAACTGGGTAGGCGGACCATTAGCCTGGTAAGGCGACCGCCTAAGGTAGGACAACCCTGAAAAAAAAACTACGAGCCTGGCGGTAGGTTAAAAACGCATGGGAAGGATACCCATTAAAAAAACCCAATATGGATAGGATAACTGGAAATATTGTTACCGCCCCAGTGCTATCGGATGGCACAGGGGACATCGCCGGGGGTTCTTGTAGCCCANATGGATAGGATAACTGGAAATATTGTTACCGCCCCAGTGCTATCGGATGGCACAGGGGACGTCGGCGGGGGTTCTTGTAGCCCAGCTCTCGTTGACGCCGACCAAGGGCGATGCGATGTGGAGGCCCCACAACCCAACTTGGATATAAATAGGAAGGGAAGATTCACCATCACCGAGGAGCTGGCGGATGAATGGGCTGATATTCAANGCGGGGGTTCTTGTAGCCCAGCTCTCGTTGACGCCGACCAAGGGCGATGCGATGTGGAGGCCCCACAACCCAACTTGGGTATAAATAGGAAGGGAAGATTCACCATCACCGAGGAGCTGGTGGATGAATGGGCTGATATTCAAGATATGTATAGCAACGATATACCTCTCACGGAGTCAGAATATGTGCGCTGGGAAGAAATAAGGCGCAAGATGGAGGACGGAAGCGAGGTCGAAAACTGTTTCCCTCGTCAAAGATTCCGCAACCTAGGCTTCTTTAAGGGCGCAGTGGACACCATACTGGGGATGATGACCAGTGACGTCCAAAACGGAGGCAACTTCTCTCCGGAGCGCAAGGAGGTTTATAACCCCTTCCATGGAGTAGAAGGGGAAGAGGAGCGAGTATGCCTTATGAGTAAGTGCGTCTCCTCCCTTCGAGGCGAAAGCACGGCGGACCGTGCGATCCAAATTGCCCGGCTGGTCAGCCGGGAACTGTTGACGCGCCATAGGAAGGATCCGATGATGGAAGCAATGGGGATTGGACTCCGGGACGTCGTTGATGTGTTCGACTACGAATGCGTCGTCGTGGAAACGGCACCCGGAGTTGTGGAGGAATCGTCCGAAGGAGACAATAGTCTATCCGAGGACGAAACAATGAGGACAGGTGTTAGGCCTGGTGTGAGTGGTGTTGAGCCTTCTCTCGGGCAGGCGACGACCGCTCCTTGTCGTGAGGTCTCCCCACCTTTGAGCCCCCTGCCGGAGGAGACGCCCCCAAAGCGTTACCCCGGGAAGAGGAAGGCGCCACTTCGTGATGATGAAGCGACATTCGACATCGGATTAAATCATGTCGGCCTGACCAGACAGGCCGAAGTGGAGGGTAGCCTCATGAAAGAGGTTCCAGGTTGTAAGGTTTCAGCCAAACAGAGGGCCTACTAATTACCCACTGCCCAGGGGGAACACTGGACAGTGACCTAGTAGCCGCGCCAAACAAGATATTACTTGCTGACGGAGCTACTAGGTTTTGATAAAAACAAAAAAAACCAATATTAATGAAAATGAGGGAAAAGTATAGAGAAAGAAAAAAAAAAATAGGCCATGTATAATATAACATCATTTTTTTTTAATTATTTAANAGCTGGAGGAAATCCTGGCTACGGAAAAGCGCAGGAGAGCGACACCGCGCTCGGGGACCATTGTAGCCTCGCCGGAAAGGGGTTCTGGTACGTTAGCTCCGGTATTCGCGAAACGGAAGCCGACAACGGACGCGGGAACGCAAACGGCGGTTGGACCGCAAACAAACAGACGGGGACGTCTGATATAGCGTTGAGGAGGAATGTGGCCACACAAACAACGGAGGAGCCCCCAAATCCCAGGTCAGATCCGTTGACGAAGCCTGGGAAGAAGCGAAAAAAGAAGAAGGAGAAGAGGCTGAATACTGTCGAGGGTATGGCCTCCTTGCCGACCGTT